AAAAATAATTGGGTAGAAAATTATCAGCTTACAAGGAAAGATGTCATGCACTGCTCTCTTTATCCTTTATCTTAGAAAAATTAACATGGAATAAAAAAATGTGTGGTTGTGAGTGCACTGATAGTGCACCTTGAGGAAGGAAGTCTGCTTTACACAGCTTTTTGGTGTAGGTCATGATTGAAGTGTGAAGGAGTGCAGGGTGGTGTGCATGACTCCCTCAGAAGCTGAAAAGAGGCTGTGTATTTTTAGATGTGCAACAGGCATTCACCAGATGGTACCTACACCCTGCCCTCTAATACATCAGTCACCTCAGCCTCGCAGTTTCCTTCTGGCTGCTTAGCAGACATGAATCCACTTACGGAGGAGACAACAGCATTACACAAAAAACCTTGCATATCAGACCACACTGAATGTTGCCTTAATTAGAGATTGCTTCAAACACCCAGACTTTTGATTTTGGCTTCAGTCATTCCTTCTCTCGTGTTCCATTACTTGTATCACTTTTCTCACTTCCCTGTCACAGAGTAACGTATGACCACCATCATTTGTGTACATGTCTGTTGTGGATGGTCACACACATTTGAGTTGCATTATCACATGCTCAGATCTTTAGAGTCCCAGATTTGTTCACAGAAAAATAATCTTTTGTAACTCAGGTTTAAATTGTTTTGTAATGTCTGCTGTGTAGAACTCTCTTCTTGGAAAGAACACAGTTTCTTCTGAAAAATTAGAAGTCTAAATAGCATATCTGTAAATCCTAGTGCATGGCAAATCCTTGAGAATATTTTGCAGTTGCATTTTTCACATCACTTTACTTTCAGAGCCCGTGGGAGTTTGGGTTGATCAACTTTAAGTACAGTTCTCTCACTGGTCATGTTTTAAGTTATGGTTGATATACAGGGAGAGAATGAATCAAATTTTCATGCTTATAAGTCCTGATCTTTCAGGCTGTTGGGTCAGATTTTGGTTACTATGTCTGTTATGTAGGAAAGAGCTGAAAAAAAGCTAAATCTCCACTAATGGAACCAAAATTACTTTTGTACTCACGTTGGGCAGTTGATTTATTCTGGGTATATCTGCAGAAGTAAGAATTTATAGCTCTTTAAATAAGGTCAAAGTAATTGTCTAGTTGTTTTGCAGCTTTTTTTTCCCCTTCTTTACAAAGGTAGGAATGTGTATTTTCCATACTTTGGTGGGGAAGCATAGGAGAGAGTATTGTAAATATATTTGCACAGGTGTAACTTATAGTGGCTTTCAAAAAATTGAAAGGTGGGGAATCCATCTTTTCCTATCCATCTTTTTTTCATAAACCCCTTTTTCTGATGAGTCAGGAAAGCAGTGAGGTCATAGTGGGTGCATGAGAACTGACCTGAATATTAATAGACCTAACTGCATGCCTTGGTGTTTCCTTAAATAAAAGCACCTGTAGCTAGGCAGGGTTTTTTTCCCCTTTTTCTATTTTTGCAACAAACATCTGGTAACATATCTTCTTTAATAACATAAGTTGTGCATAGCCTTTCCTGAAAATGTACCCTTGCATTAGCACTCCCTGTGTTAGCTGCCACAGTAGTCCCTGGCTACGTAGCCTCATTGAAACTTTCCTTCCTAGCTTTTTGTAAAGGGTGAAAGCTCAGCTTTTCTCTCAGCACTGAAATAACATTTCTTTTTCCAAATGTGAAGTTACTGTAGAAGTATTACATGACTGCCTCAATTCTTGAGTGTTCCTTGAAATTCTGAATTTACTCTTTGGGACAGAAACCCTCATTTTGCCTTGCCTTGCCTTTGGACAGTGCTTATTCTCCTGGCAGCTGTAATCTTGGTCCTGATGCAACCTGGTAGAAGTAATTTTTCAGATAAGTTGGAAAATCAGCTCTCAGTTATGTCATTCCACTCCTCCAGTACTCTGTGCTGACTGTTGCTGCGTGTGTTAATTGTGGAACATCTGAAAACGTAATTCTAGAACTGAGCTTTCACAGTTCAGTAATAACGTGGAATATTTCACTTCTGTGATAAAATGTAATACTTGTGTTTTGCTCATGAGGTAATGTGCATCTAGGGACAGGCATTGCAAGGTCTATTCCCTCTGATTTTGTGTCCACTCTGAAATATAATTGTGGCCCAAAGGAAGTTTCTATTAGTGCCTACCTGCAAGGGCAAATCTGCCCTAAAAGGATGTTGCTATTCCATCTCCAGCTTTGGTAGTGCTGGGTGGAGCAGAGAGCAGACTACACAGTCCAGTATTGCATATGCTAAAGGATTCCCTGCTGGACTCCACCAAGTTGGTCTCAGTCTGCATGAACCATGGCTGGGATGTTCAGATTCACAAACATACTTGGGTGCCCCAGGGTTTAGTGAAGAGGAACCTACCCTTATGTACAGTGGCTAGGGGGAGTTAGATACTGGCAATAGTGTGTCTGTTGGAAGTGAGGAGATAACAAACCCTGTTACTAGGGAAAATGAAAATGGGAAGCATCTTGCAAAACTCACTCCTCTGGATATTGGACACCAATTACTGGTGTGATAAAAGCATGTCTGCAAGACCCTCAGCTTACGTGGTCGTAACTTAAACCCTTCATCCTACTGCCTGAGATCAGACTGTCAGTGTAGTCTGACTGGGTTTGCTCTTCTCTTTGAAAACAGCCAGTAGAGGCAGTAGCTTTGCTGATAATTGTGTTTTGTGAGACAGTGTAATAACTTCTCACCTCGGTAGTGAGAGCATACTCTACATTTTACTTAGCCTAAGGTTTAAATCTCTATTCCTGTAACTGTGGAAGAAAAAACAAGAAACAAAATTGGCTGGGAAGGTGCTAAACTACTCCTTTAATTTTAAATTTAAGACATGGTACAGAAAAGAGACAATATGAGAGGAAGGAAGAGAGGAACTGTTATTTTTGGCCAATAAGGACAAAATCTTAGGCTTTGATTCTTCTCCAGACATGACTTAGGCATTAGAGGTAAGGTCTTGAGAACATACTGTGAAGCAGGGGACTTGGAAACAGGCTGTGTATCTATCCTAGGTTGTTTATCTCATACCAAGTACAAAATGAGCATGAACTAATTAGAAAATAGTACCAAATAAAAGGTAAACAAAAGGATTCAGAAGAATGATGCAAATTTCAAGCTATCAAAAAGGAAAACAAAACAAAAAAACTCGCAACCAACCAAACAGAAAAGCTAAAGCTGAAAAATAAAGAAAGAGCCTTCTAGCTTGAATGGTTAGTGTTCCAGAGGAAGGGGATGCATCCTCACTGGGATCAGCAATGTCACAGTTTAGAAACATGTTGCATCGGATTTGACACAGATTGGTCTCTGTATGGGATCCATTCTGAGCTAGGGTTTGCATTTTTAAGCCTCTTCCTCAAATAATTGTCTTTTCAAACTCTGGTAAATGCATTGTGTTACACAGAGGGAGGTGTTTTGTTTTTTTTTTTTTTCTTGAACCCTCTTGTCCTCAAGCTTGTGTACTTCTGCCAATATGCATGGTTCTACAGAGTTCTCATCTGTACAGATGCTCCTACAGCATCTCATCTCATGAGGTGCTGTAGTTCTTGGAGTTCTGTTAAGGCAGACACACGTGCTGCAGGAAACAAATTTGCAAGGAGTGTGAGTTACAGTCAGTTCAGATTTTTCTAACTGTAGTCTTCCTGTGTTAATTTCTACAAAATGCTGACACTCATTTTGGGAAGCTGGGTGCTTCACTGCCAGGTACAACATGGCTCAGATCAGAACAGGTCAGCAGTTTACCCTGATGTTCCTTACAATGCGGCAGAGGGAAAGCCAGTTGCAGAATTAGACATCTTGAAATGTTTTAACGCTACAAAGCATACTTTCAGCAAGTAGCTTCTTTACAGTTTAATAATGTTGGCTTAAACATGTCTGAAGTTAGGACTATACTAAACTGCTTTGAAACCAAGGTGGTTAAGAATATCCATGCCTGAGCAGTTCGTTGAAGAAATACTTTGCTTGATGCAGTACCCTCAGTGTGTTTCCTCTGCATGTCCTTGCTGTTAGCTGAAACACTGAGACTGATTCTGATTTCAGAAGGTCTCCCGGGGGAGTAGGACACATATTTTGCTTCACTCCTCCAAGATCTTTGCTGGGTTGTCTTCCATACATAGCATGGAAGAGCTGCACTGTAGCAAGTAGTATTCAGCATGCAAGACTGAATTTTTCAGCCTCAGTCCTATCTCTAATCCTAAATTCAGCAGGGCTGCCAAGGAGTTCATTCTCCTTGGGGAAACCAGAAGTTGCAGCCCCGGGCCACTTCTGTCGTTTCAGGCGTGACACAGAGCCCGCAGGCTCCAAACCACTTTTCCTTCCCACCGGGGTGGTTTGGAGAGCAGATGCTGTTTATTAGGCATTTGTATCTATGCAGGCAGCCGACTCCTACAACTTGGGCCATTGGATGCAGCAGGGCTTTGGGAACTCGGTGCAGGCGAAGCCGTGTGAGGCGCGGCCCGTCCTATCTCAGCCCCTCAGGCTCGCCTTAACAGCGAGCGCTGTGGCCGGCCACCGGCGGCTCCTCAGGGCAGCAGGTGGGGAGGGGGCGAGGCCATCACCTGCCGGCGGGGTCCGTGTGCGTGCAGCCAGCCCCGCTCCCGGTGACCCCCGACACCTCCCGGCTCCTGCCCGCGGGCCGCCGCCTTTGAAGTGCATCCCCCGCCCGAGGGGACGGGACGTGCAGGGGCTGGGGTGGGGGGAGGTCGCTCCGTGGAGCGCCCTCCCGACCGGGGCTGGCGAGGGGGCAACGGGGCCGCAGGGGGAGGGCGGACGGAGGCGCCGCCCGGGCCGGCCCGGAGCCGGGTCTCTCTGTTTGCCCGTAAATAAAGCGCCGGGCCGTGGCCGGCCGAATAAATGCGGGTGCGGCGGGGCCGGCTGTCCCTGCCCCGGGCCGGGGAGCGGGCAGAGCCGTCGGAGCCGCGGTTCAGGACGCGGACAGCGCTGAAGGCGGCGGGGCCGGCAGGGGGGGCCGGCGCGGGCGCCTCTGGCCGCCCGGCGGCTCAGGCGGGGCCATGGCCGCGGGCGGGCGGGCGGCCGAGCCGCCGGCAGAGCTCAGCCACTACGTGGTAGCGCGGCCCATCTACAGCGAGCCGGGCTTCCAGGAGGAGAACGAGCGGCGGCCGCCGCTGCCGCCCACGCTCCGCGAGCGGGCGCAGGCGGCCTGCAGGTGGGTCCGGGCGTGGGGCCGCGGGAGGGGACCCGGGGGCGCCGGGAGAAGCGCGGTCCCGGCGCCCACGAACTCCGCCCGCCGAGGGATGGAGTGGTCCGAACAACGCCAGACTCGTCGGTAGACCCGTCCCTGCTCCTCAGCATATCGAAGCCGCCGGCGGGGTGCTCCTTCAGGGACCGCACTTTTGGCACCAGTTCGTGCCCCGTCCCTGTCTGGAAGACACGACAATGTCAGTCTCTGTCAAGGGATGACTGGTGCGCATCAGCTCAGCTCCGCTCTCTGTCAGCTTGGGGGTCTCGGGGTTCTTGGGGCTCTCCAACTGCAGCCCCGTGGGGTGTGTTCATTACTTGTTTTTCTCGCAGATGTTCCAGAAAAAGGGCCTTTCAGATTGCCAAGTCCTTTCTGCCCATCCTGGAGTGGCTGCCCAACTACCGGGCGAAAGAGTGGCTGATCAGCGACATCATCTCGGGGCTCAGCACTGGCCTCGTCGCAACCCTTCAAGGTAAAGCCAGGCACGCCGGCGCCCCGCTCTCCAGCACCTTCCTATGTGGGAGCTGGCTCAACACAGGGACGTTATACAGATGGAATTACAAATCTGAGGCTTGTTATTTAATACTAGATATTAGGTATTATTTTGCAATAAATAATTAATTTATTCCTCTCCTCTGCTTGGCTAGAAGATTTAAATTTCCTTTGAGATGCTATCAAGATGTAACTTTTCTTCCAGGTGTTTTACTCAAAGAGTATCCATTCTGATATTTAAAATTTTAATTACATTGTGATGAATCAGGTAGGTTTTGTGGTCTTATTTCTTGGTTATCTAAGTCTATAGTTCTCCTGCAACTGCCTGCAAAAATCTGGTTTTTGCCCTAAAATAATGCAACCTTGATACCTACTCCTCTTTAAAATTCACCTCATAAGGTTGTTCAGATATCTGCAGATAACCCTTAAGGAGGTGGTGGCATTTAAAAAAAAATTTAAACTTGGTGGATTTTCATGGTACATGGCTTGCAATATTAAGTTTTCCTTACTTCCTTATTGCATTTATTAGTAAAGCATTCAGTAGATGAATCAATAGGAAAGTGGTAGAAATAAGCAGAAATTAATTAAAATAAGTTACTTAAGGAAGACTCAGAGGGCTGAACCTTCCAGCCTGAGGCAGCATACGTCAAAAACAAGACTAGCTATAACTCTGACACATCCACCACATTAATTTCTTTCATCTCAATAGAGTTCTTACACTATTTTCACAATTTTTGAGGACTGGGGCAGGCAAAGCTAGCTGTGTCAACCGACACTTCACCTCAGTGAAAGTTCAGTGTTTGCAGAAGGGGGCAAAGATTTACATCAGAAACAAAGAAGTTTACGCATTCCCAATTAGCCACAAGTACTCCCTCTTGTCTGTTCCCTTGGAGCATGGTAGGAAAGCACAGACTGGCAGAAAAAAAGCATTACAAACCTCTGCTTCAGGCAGGGGGTGACCTGAGGAATAAAACAAGTGATTCTTTCCCACAGAAATTCCCAAAGAGAGTGTCAGAGCTGGAAGATCTTTGCTGAAGGTAGTGGCACAGTTAGAGGATTCCCCTGCCTTTTTAAAATGAACTGGGCTAGATGGACTTTTAACAGTTATTATGCTCTGATTAGAACCTTCTCATTTATTTTTTTCAGTGGCTTGATTTTCTGTCAAATAGAATCCATTTGTAAAACCAATTTCTGAAATATACTGTCTGGCCTCCCATCTATGTATTAAAAAAAAAAAAAAAAAGGAAGAAACAAATAAGTGCAAATCTAAACCTAGCTATAATTTTAAAAAATATAATAGTTCTGACATTTTAAAACATGCATTATAGGGAAAATTTGCCAAATATTTGCCAAAAAAGAGGCTTCTGGGATCTTAAGGTCCCTGAAGTCCTTAACTCCCAACAGCTATGTGTGTTGCTTGCAGCCCTCCCACCAGTCACAGTAGTATGACCAGGACTTCAGTTGTTCCAACTCTTACAGGTTTTTGCAGCATCTTTGAAGGAGCATACTATACTCTGCAATGGGAGCCAACATATGATACTGAAGGCAACTTTATTATTATTATTATTATTATTATTATTATTATTATTATTATTATTATTATTATTATTTGCTGGATTTGACAGCTTGCACAGGTATACAAAGGAAGAAGAACCAAAACTCTCAAATTTGTGTGAGTTATTTTTGGTAGTTCAGTTTATAACCTGATACTAGAAAAAGAAGTAGCCTGATTTTCACAGGGGCTGAACACACTGAAGCATATTTGTATATGTGCTTCAGAGCAATAATTCAGAGTCTGTGCTTGAAATTTCTGTCTATAACTAGAGCACTTCATATATCCCTCTTTTCTCTCAAGAGCAGACCTTTCACCCTTGCAACAATGTTCCCCACTTAAACTTCCCATCTGAGCCTGTGTATTGTACTGCCTATGTGAATATAGGAACAAAGTTCAGTATTTACTCATCCAAGTACCAGTGTGGGATATACAGTCATTTACAGTCATTGATACTCATCTATGTGCCTGCAACTGATTTACAGACAAAACACATTCTAAATTGCATCTGGACAAAAGCAGTAAATCTTTCTGAAAGTCTATTCTAGAAAAGATAGTAGTTTACTGAGAGATTTTAAATCTGATATTTTGATGATCTATCATTTCAGGTTTGGCATATGCTTTGCTGGTTGCAGTCCCTGTTGGATATGGTCTCTATTCTGCTTTTTTTCCCATCCTGACATACTTTTTCCTGGGAACATCAAGGCACATCTCAGTTGGTAACTCCGTGTGTTCAAGTTACAGTGAATTACCTATTACAAAATGTTAATCCTTACTGTAGACATTCATATTTCATACAATATAACAACTTTCTGAACCAAATTGGCTATGCTGAACATTAATATTGGTGGATCTAGGGAAATTAAGGCTTATTTCTTCTCTATACAGGCAATTATGCATAATAGCTAACTTCAGTTGCACCCCTGCTTTTTGCTTGAATTTGTGCTGAAGTTTAAATCTTATCTTTAGTTACACCCTATGCAAGAAATTACAAGACCGAGGCCTCAGTAGGCAGTATGAATGACAGACATTGTCTACCAGCTAAAGCTCAAGATGGCTAAAACAGAGCTCTTTTAGTCTTCTCTACAAGCCTTACTTGCTGCATCCTTTTTGATTACTGTGGACAGTATCTTCTTCTTGCCTGTCGCAGAGACCCAGAACCTGTGTGTGCGCTCCAGCCTTGCTCTAGGTCCTCACATCAAGGCTATGGGTAAACCTTGTTGATTCTTTCTGAATACTTTTAAATATGAGGTTTGCTTCCTGTCAGTTCTCACATTTAAAATTCTTGTTACAGTTTGATCACTGAAGTTCCTTTTTCTTCATTCTAACAAAATCTAGTGTTTCCTCGTTCATTTGTACTAATAATAGATTGTTTCCACCCCCCAGAGCTTTGGCATGGTAATACGCTTTTTCCTCAACTTTCTTCTCTGCTGCATCAAATGCCTCTGTATGTTTTCTCAACTTTGTTAACCTCTTTCTACCCTACCTATCAGCTCACATTTGCTATCCAGATCTAAGTTGTTAAGTCTATTTATGGTGGCATTCCTACTTCCTAGATTATCAAGCACTCCATTTTTATGCTATTCCCAATACTCTTATTCATGAAGTGTCCTCTAAGATATCTGTAAAATTAACTTATCCTTCTTTAAGACATTTCGAGACATTTTCCTTTTCTGCAAAATTTTAATAAATAACTGCAACAAATATGATTAGTTTTAGATTGTGTGTTGCTGACACAGTGATCACTCTCTCTGTGTCTTGCCCAATGTATAGTTTCAGTCATCTTTAGCCAATGTAATAGCACACTGCCACCAAAAGATGTGGTCCTACCCCGTGTTCCTGCCACCCACCATCATGTTGGGATCCCTGACCATGTAGCTATGTGGCACTCTGGATCAGCTGAAAACTAACCGTGACAAAAACAAACAAACAAATCAAAAAACCTGGGAAAAAACCCCAAACCCAAGCAAACAAACAAAACCCAAAACTCAAATAAATATTGCTTTCACCTGGACTGGTGTTCTGCTTTGTCTCATTGTGGTGCTGATACAAGGGAGATGGTTGGAACATGTTGAACATGTTGCTCCTTTTGGCCTTGGTACAGCCCTAAGTTGGCTCAAGCAAAGCATGAAACTGCACCTCTACCTGTATGTGCAACACAACTTATTTAAGAAAAGAATTGTATCTTTGTGTCATGTAGGCAGTGCTGTGGCTCTGGGCCCCCTAATATTGCTAATGTAGCCCAATTAAAATATTAAATGGTTTTTCTGATTTAGAGTTTCTTGCCTAGTCTGATAAATGCTTCTTTTCAATGTATATTAAACTTTAGTGTGTTTTGTTTCTCATTACAGGTCCATTTCCTGTAGTCAGTTTGATGGTGGGATCTGTTGTATTGAGCATGGCCCCTGATGAGAATTTTCTCATAGAAGGCATTAATGCTACAGGGACTAATAGTACTGGCACACTGATAGACACTGAATCCAGAGATGCACAGAGAGTGCTGATTGCTAGTACTCTCACATTCCTAGTTGGAATTTTACAGGTAAAATAGTTCACTTGAAGACACATGGTTGACATTTTAATGGGAAAACATATGGCAGGAAAATACCTACTAAGGCAGTCAGACATTTTCCTGTAGCAAAACACAAAAATGGAGTAAAGTTATCTCAAACTCTGAAGAGCTTTGGGGGGATTATTCTTCGTATTCTGGGCATAGTCTGTGACAGCCTGACTTGGAGCGCAGAGAACAGGATAGCGATGCGATTGTAGACCAAAAGATCTGTATGAAACTAAGTGCTAATGGTGCATATCCTGGAGATTCCTTTCACACGTTTATTCAGGTCTCCTTTAGTTCCTGGAATGGACAATACTAAGCTACACTAGGCTGAAATGGGGGAATGTAGTCCTAAGATTGTATCAACAAAGAGAGAAGACAAAGCATAAGAAACCACCCAATAAAAATGTACCTTTCTGTTGTTCAACAAGCTGTTATTCCTCATGATTTTTTCCAGGTAATATTTGGAGTCCTCCAGATTGGTTTCATTGTGAGGTACCTTGCAGATCCACTAGTTGGGGGATTCACAACTGCAGCTGCTTTTCAAGTGCTTGTGTCACAATTGAAAATAGTCCTGAATGTTTCAACTAAAAATTATAATGGTGTCCTCTCCATAATATACGTAAGTATGCCCTTCTAATCTGTTTTGGGTTTATGACAGATTTTTTTTTATATTATTGCTTATCTTCTGCTTCCATTTCACACAGGAATGGTTCATATATATAGGGTGAGTATAGGGCATTCATTTAGTTCTCACTCTCATGAAGATCTGCAGGTGTTCATTTGTAGCTGTGGGGCTCTAAGTAGCTGCTTTTGGGGTCTTACTGAAAGACTTACAGAAAGTCTTACTGCTGCCTTTTTCAGGCAGAGCAGTTTTTCACATAAAGTTTAAATGTAATTATCCAGCAAAACAGTTCTCCACTTCTGGAGACTACTTTTTGTCCCACCCCTTGCTTTCTGGTTTATTGTGAAGGATATTTCATCATTTCTTAACACTGTCAGGTCATCTCCCAAAACTGGCCAGTCCCAAGCGCGTCATTCTGGTGAAGGGCATTGTTCTCCATTCCACAGTGTAGCCGTGCTCGTGAATAACCTAAAGAAGGATGTGGACTCCCATTCTTGGGCCAGGTACTTACTGGTTAGCAAACGTGAGGCTAAATGTTGCTATCACAGCCCCATTTGTTGATTTGATAATGATAAAAATGGAGAAAATGTTAAAATGGAGAAATGTCTTGGCTGCATTACAGAAATACTGAATTCCTAGAGGTGTTATATTACAGAATAGTATTCTTTCCCAAGAAAATGATTGAATTTGTCACTGACTTCAGCATGAAACTATTCAGGTTCACAGTATTTTAGATCTTCCATAGCACTTCATATTAGAATAGCAGATTTCTAAAAGAGGCTGTTCTAGGAAAAAAAAAATGTATTTAGAGATTTTACATGCCAGTTCTGGCAACCAGACTAACAAAAATCTAAACATCAGACATCTAGATTAGCAAAATAAGGTGACTATAACAAGCAGCAAGGTAAAATTTAAAAAAAAAAAAATCACATGTACTATTTTGGGGGAAAAAGGTATTATGTTATGGGCCATTTCAGAATTAATGAAAACTTTTTCCCTCAGAACAAGGAAAATTAGGTGAGACAAAGTACTGTCTAATATACCTTAGAGCAGACTTGGCAGGGTGATGGACTTGTTAATCCAGCATTTTTTTTCAGTCTCTTTTTTATGTTTATTGAATGGGTGGTACATATAGTAGAAGACATTTTTAAAAAGAAATTACATGGTTCTTCCAGCTCCTGCAAACCTGACTTTGTAGGTTAAAGTTCAAAGCTTCTGTGTTCTTACAGGTGAGTCAAGTCAGTGTGTTTGCAGATGCATGTAGAACAGAGAAATTGTGATTTCTGGTCTGCTCAACCAGTGATTGGTTGTGTCAGCTTCAGCAAATTCTGGACTTGCTTCAAAAGCGGTGTTTAACAAACTGCAGCACTAAAACGTCCAACATTAGCAGAATCCACAGCCCAAAGTTAGGAAGTTACTGTTTCCCTGTGAAGTTGGGCAGTGAAAGAGATGGTCAGTAAGAATGGGATCCACCGTAAACAGTACAATGGGCAAGAAATGGCTTCAGTCATCCAAAGGAGGGCATCTGATTTGAGGAAGGCTTCTTCTTTAGCTTATAAAACATAGCTGATTAAACACTTAGGTGTTTTATTTCAAAACCAGAGTCTTTTCAGTAGGGTGCTGCTGCTGCAAACCTCCCCTTCTCTTTAAACCAACAACTCAGTACTGGGGTAGCTAACCTGGGGGCAAGAAGTTTCTAACCCCTTTTCTACCAGATCATTCTGTTACAGCTTCACTATGCATGGAATAATCACATTTTCTTGGAGACAGTGGGTGAGACCTACCCTGATGCTTAGGAGGAGGACCGAGAAATATTTGTGGTTTTTCTGTAATCATCCCTTCTTGTTTTTTCCTTACACTTACTTGCAATAAACAATAGGACCAAACAAGGGCATAGCAAGGGTAGAGAAGGCAGCTGCCTGTTGCAGCCCAGTTGTGAGAGTGCTCCAGTCTGGGACTGAATTCTGCTGGGAGGGTTAATGTACTGTAAGGTGAAGTTTAGTGACTGCTTTTCTGACTTGTAGGATTCTTCACAGCCTGGTAGGACCTGTTCATACTCATTCTCTGTATGTCAGCAAGGGAAATAGGAAACATGTAATCCACAGACCACATGTACTGGGGCACATAGTGAACCAGACTTTTGCCCAGGGCTCTGGTAGTTCTCTTTTGACTAGAAAAATGAGGATCTCCCTTGCTATTTATCAAAGTGAAGAAGCTGTAGATCTTCCCCTCCTTGCTCCAATACAGGTAGAGGTAAATTACAGGTAGGTACTAATTACTTAGTATTAATTGCCTAAAAATCAGGAAGCAGAAGCCCCCCATGTGGACAATTCTTGCAGTTATGCTTTTTCTGTTAAATTCCCCATTAAATTAATAAACTGATTCTGTAGCACCTTGACAATATATTACCCTCAGGCTTCTCCAAGCCTGTGCAAAGAAGTTACTTGGCCTTCTCCAAAACTCCATGGATCTAGATCATCTCATGAGTATTTTCACATTCTTCAAGTGGACACGAGCATGTTTTACGTTGTCATTTTTATTTTTCAGACTCTTATTGAAACATTTGAAAAAATTGGTACCACCAACATTGCAGATCTTATTGCTGGACTCCTCACCATTTTTGTCTGCATGGTAGTTAAAGAACTAAATGATCGGTTCAAACACAAGATACCAATACCTATACCAATAGAAGTTATTGTGGTAAGCAAAGGGGCATTATCTGAAAACAGATAAAATAGATGGGTCTAGCTACAGGAAGACAAGAAACCTTTTTAAGTTTTAAAACTCTTGTTTTATTTTATTGCAGACAATAGTAGCAACTGGCATTTCATATGCTGCCGACTTGGAAAAAAAATACAATGCAGGCATTGTTAAGAGCATTCCAAGAGGGTGAGTGTCTTTGCTTTCTGGGAAATAGATATTATTTTAACTGGCTAAAAATGACAGTGCTAAGAGAAAAGACATGAAAGAAACACTGAGAGCTGTAACCTAAGTTTAGAACTCAGATCTGGAGTTTTACTTCTGCCACCTAAATGTAGTGCATAGTCTTCCTTCTGTAAAATGAGCTTAGGAATGTCTATCTGATTCATTAAGTTCATCTGATAATTAATTGCTTCATGCTCATGAAGTGACTATGTGATTATGAAAAATGCTAAAAAATAAGGAGTTTTAAGAAAGAAATTCTGCATAGATTTAGTTTCTGTAGACCTAACTTATCCCACTGTGGTTCGTATTCATGTCACTACTGTTATCCCAATCAATCTTGTCACTTCCACAGTCATAGGAGCAAGGATGCTGAGGATTACATTGGTAGAGACTTTCACTTGAAAGATTCAGAGCACTTCACAGTAGTAACCTTCACATTCCATTTGGTATTCAGGGCTTGATTAATTAAAGTTTGTAGAAACACAGTAGGGGATAAAATGGTTTTGAGATCTGAAGAAATATGTTAACAATAGTATGGAGTGTCATTAACATATTTATGTAATTCATCGTACTATTCAATACATCCTTTATTCAGTGCTTCAAAAAATGTAGTTTTCCACTTTGCTATCATAAGGCCAAATCTCAGTCATGCTGAGAACAATGGGAGCTTTGTTGCTGACTAATAGCACCAGGATTTGGGCTATGGTGAGCTAGATAAGCATGTTCTGTATGTCAGTGGGCTGTTTCCACCTTTTTATTAACTTGAAACATTATACTTCATATTATAAGCAACCTGTATGCTTCCACCTCAAACTCCTTGACAGTTCCAGTAAGAACAGAATTTGATCAAAGTTGGTAACACTAATATATTTTCTAAATGCTAGATTTTTGCCTCCCGAACCTCCAAATGTCAGCCTGTTTTCCCAGATGATAGCAGCCTCCTTTTCCATTGCAATTGTTGCTTATGCTATTGCCGTATCTGTGGGAAAAGTATATGCAACCAAGTATGACTATGCTATTGATGGAAACCAGGTATGTATGATCAAAAAAAATTATAAACATAGTGAGTGTAAGTTCTGTTTCATGTTGACTTATGTAGCCAAATGAAAGAAACACCATTCATGCGTGTTTTTCAGACGAGCGCTGAAGTCTGGCAGGAGAAATTCTTTCAACTATTGAAAAAAAAATTAGCTGGAATGTCCACATAGAGATGAGCCAGATGTGCTCTATCTTCAATATGGGCTTTTCATTCTAATTCATTCCTTCTGTATTGCTTTAGTGACTGCAGTAGCTCTGAAAGGGTAAGCGCTGTACAGGGGGATTTTCTGCTGATGTCAAGTTGACATGGCCAGCTTTAGCAACCTACTTTCCATTTCCTCTTTTAAGGCATATTTTGAGGTGTGTTGCTGGGGCAGGGAAAGGCAGTGTCAAGCTAAGAAGTTGCTCTGGACAGCTTTATTTAAGCTTAGTCTACATGAAGGATTTGTATCAATTGAACTTTTCAGTTAATAAATGATTGTACTTCTCAGCATGACACCAGTTACATCACTATAAATATAGTTGTAACCTAATAGATCAGTCCTGCAGCTTCACAAAACTTAATGCCTACCAGCATATGAATGTCCTTGAGTAAATGTCTGAACTGCTTTAAGCATTGGTTTCTAAGGACAGATAGCTAGAATGTGGCATGAGCTGTGCAGTCACCAGCTCGTATGGAATTCCTGCACTTGTTCAGTGTCTTCGCTGGGGGTTTTGTGGCTTGTCCATGGGTGTGGAAGAAAAATGTTAGAAAACTTCCTTGTCCCGCATTTATGCTAATTTTTAGTTTTATCCTTTGAGAGTATTAGAAAATGCACTAACTACATAAATAGATAAGCTGAGTACTTTGTCTGATGAGTCCTTTACTTTAGTACTAATGGATTACATACAGTTTGATTTTGGAAACACTGTTCTGCAGTACGTAAGAAAACGATGCTTCTGTTCATCAGTTTACAATTCACAAAGTTCATATCTGCCAACACTTTGTCTTAAAGTTGCCCAAAAACAAATCTGAAAGAATAATACATGATCTTGGAAGTGCTGCTTATGCTGTACTATTGTTGAATATGTTCTGTCAGCACTTGTGTGCTTCAACAATACTGATTAAATATTGTAGTAGAAGAATTAGTCTTTAAAAGAAAATCGCCTTCCTTTCAACACTATGAATTTGACATGTAGCAAAGGTTAAATGCAGCCCTGAATGATGGGCGAATAGTTTACTTGATCAGGAGAAATTTAAATAACATCATAAAAGCAGGTAGTAAACTAATTTGTAAGGATGGGTCAATATTATTAGCTGCCAGAGTTTATATTGTCATCACAGATTCATAGATTATTAAGACCTAAGAATGCTAGGAACTATAATTCCAACATTTTCTCACAGATCACAACTGTTACAGAGGAACAGGCATGAATCATCTAGGTCTGTTCTGTTAAAGAACATGACTTCAAAATCCTGCTCTTTTAGATGGAGCTTAATGAAAAACTTGCAGGAAATTTAATTTTGGAGAAAAGAAGGGACACGGTAAAACTGAAATCTGAAATTATATTTTTAAAAGTTTGCAGTGAGGAAGAGCTCCTGTGCCTGCATCAGCTTTGTGAAAACAATGTTTCTGTCAATTATATGGGGTTTGTTGCAGACAGCTCCCAAATTCCTTGTTTCCCAGCAGAGGAATGGCCCAGATCCCAGGATATAAAGCTCCCATGGTCCCTGTCATTTGAGCACAGCAGTGAGCATCAATAGGCACCAGCATTTGTCACTCTGGGGCAAATATACGAGAATTCCGCTTGGGACTCAGCATGAGTTCATTGAGATGTTTAGAGTGAAAAACTTCCGGCTCAACAAACTAGAAGTTTTTGGTGAAATTGTGTTTTATTGCAAAGTTCCTTATTTGTTCTACTAATATTACAATGCTTTGTATTAGTTAAAGACTTGTCTAAACTCAGGCTGTTATACTGATCAAAATAGTTTGTTTATCTGATGATACCTGGAAGTTAAATTTATACTACTACCATTTCTTGATGCAATTATACAAGGGTAATTCTTGGAAATGTTAGGAAAATTGATGGAAATAAGCTTTAAATGCCTTTATACTCAGACAAGTATGTCCATGTCAAGGGGATTATACTAACTTCTTTGTATTGGTTTTCAAACAGAGGTAGCTGCACTGGCACAAAAGGAATCTGTGTAAACATTTAACAGCTATTACTAGTTCATACCCTTCTCAGTATTATTATGTATCTACTTTATCAACTACTGCAGAAGCTAGTGTCATTCTCCATTGCAGAACTATCTTCAGGCATCTGTATTTACAACATCATCCAATTATCTTTCAGGAATTTATTGCCTTTGG